GTGAGGTCTCTGATAGATGGTGCCATCAGACAGTAACATCTCTGACAGACTGTACCATGCCACAGTGATATCTGTGACATTTGGTGCCATGCCACAGTGACATCTCTGACATGTGGTACCATGTCCCAGTGACATCTCTAACGTGTGGTGTCATGCCACAGTGATATCTTTGACATGCAGTGCCACGCCCAGTGACATCTCTGACAGGTGGTGCCATGTCATAGTGACATCTCTGACAGGTGTGATATGCCAGTCACATCTCTGACATGTGTTGACATGTCCTAGTGACATCTCTGACATGTGGTCATGCAACAGTGTCATCTTTGACAGGTGGTGTCATGCCACAGTGACATCTGCTAGGTGGTGCCATGCCACAGTGACATCTCTGACAGATGGTGCCACATCAGTGTGAGATGAGCAGTGTCAGAGAATTGAGAAGTTTCCTGTAATGTAAATCTGACCTTCTACACCTTAGCTTTTTGCAATGTAGATATTCAATGTCTAAAGCTGAGTTTTTGTAAAACAACACTGATTTGATCCTTCTGTAACATAATTGAATTTTTTGTAATATGACTGATTTGATCTGTTCTAACACAACAAAGTTCAGTGTTCTGTAAAATAGCTTAATTTGACCTTACTGATCTAATACATAGGCAGATTGTGTGATAAATGTGAATTATACAATTCAATATTAGACTGTGATGAGTCTCACTGATGTAATACAATAGCAGATTGTGTGATAAGTGTGAATGATGTAATACAATAGTAGACTGTGATATAAATTATCATGGATCCTATATTGCAGATTAATGCCATGATTTCCTAATGTCAGCAACAAATAGGGATGACTGACATCAATAAATTATCCTCACATAAATTTTGTTTTGCTGTCTAATTCTTGGAATATTATTGTCATCATTGTACTGTTGTGACATAATACTCAGTCCACTTGTTTCCCATTTCACTGCCTGTTTGGTGATTCTCTGTTCATTTCTTTTCGGGATGTGTACCATTTTCTTTGTCTTATAACTGTTGATAACAGCAGTTGCCCAGACATTGATTAAGGACACCTCAACTACAAATGTAATTTTCCAACAAAAGATGAGTGATTTGATCATAGAAGCAAGATTTTAGAGAGTAACAGAAATGTGTTTCACCTAGGTGGGTGTCTGGGGGCTGTTAAAATAGAAACAGAATGGTTTTTTGGAAGTTTTTTGTGAATATTTATGAAATGATTCTAAATGGTTGCTCTACATAACAGATTTTCTCCCTCCATCTAGCGAAATCTGTGCAGTCTGGTAAGACATGTTCAGAGTCTGCTTGATGCTCTAGATCAGGGCTATTCAACCTGGCAACTTGTGGGCCAAATCAGGCCCACGGAGGCCTATGAATCATTGCCAGTTGTATTGTATTAACAATCTTTCTGTGCTGGAAATTGTGTCTGTGGCCTGAAACGATCTCCATTTTCACAATGTTGGCCCCTGAGTAAACTGTTGAATAGCCCTGCTCCAGATCGACAAGTGGCAGTCAGTGAAGTTTACAGCATTCTGTTCAGAGCCTGAAAATTCATACCTACAATCCTCTTGTACAATATTTTATTGCAATCACTGTGACTGGTGCAGCCAGAATTCTCCACAAGCACAAACTAAAATAAAGTTGATGGTACACAAAAACAAATTGAAAAAAAAAAAGTAAATAACAATATCACATGCACTATACATAAGGTTAAAATTGAAGGGATCGGCTTCATTGTCCCTGGTCTCTCTCCGCAGAATAGCTAGCCACATGTTCAATGAACACACCACAAAGCAAGAACTCTGTAGCTCCACGGAAATTCCCCAGGGATCTCCATAATAACCTACACTCATGAACTGAACGATGTGCCGGTGAAACAAACCACAACCTTCACAGATCAAAGTTTGGCCGCTTCATCATGGAGACCCCCAATGGATAAACATAAGAATATGTTTATTCTGTAGCAATAAAAAACAACTGTGGCAACAAAGTTTAAATATCTGGGAACTACATTTACCGAAGATGGGAAATTGGATAAAGAAATTGACATTAGATGCAGTAAAGCAAACCAAGTATTGGGACAGCTAGCCCCCCTCTTACAGCATAAGACAATCCCAATCAGCACAAAGAAACATCTTATTCAAAGCATATTTATTCCAACTCTGTGCTACCAGTGCCAGACATGGTCACTCACAACAAACCATAAAAGAAAATTAGTAACCACGGAAATGAGATGTCTGAGAAGGGCTGTAGGAGTGACCATAAGAGATAAGATCAGGAATGAGATCATAAGAGAACAAGTCGGCACAGAACCAATTCTGGATTACATACAAAGACAGCAAGTGAAATGGTTTGCCCACTTAGAGAGAATGCCTTGTGACACCATACCATACAAAGCATACATGGAAAGAGAAGAAGGACGTAGAGCACGGGGTAGACAAAGAACAAGATGGAAGGATAACATCAGAGAAACTCTACAACAGCACGATGTGCCTATGGTCGAGGCAGCCAGAAGAGCTAGAAACAGAACCTTATATCTCCCTCGACACCCACAGCGGTAAAAGAGGAAGTGAAGAAGAAGAAGAAGTGGCAACAAAAACAATAAAATGTAGAAGTCCTTAACTCTTTTGCCCAGAGAAGCTATGAATCTGGCACACCAGACAGTAGCTCAATCTTGTAAATGCAGCTTACCAGCAATTCTACAATAGCCTGTTCCTGAGAAACCTAATTTAACAACTGGTTGTGTTTGCACCAGCACAGCATTTAGAAGGTCGGGATATGAATATATTTACTAAAAATAGCAGTTAGACAATTAATTTAAAAGCATTAGGTAAAGAATTATTGTAACTAACTACTCAGAGATCTAGTCAGTAGAGACACTTTAGGAAAGCTGTTGTCTCTGTACATATGAGAATGCAATGTGCAGTGATGCCAACAGTGATAATATAAATTACAGAACCACACTGTAAGAAAATGTTGAATGCCTGTGAGCAAAAGGATGGCAATGATATAAGTGGGAAGATAACATGAAAATATAGGCAAAAGGATGACAATGATATAAGTGGGAAGAAGATATCGAGAGAGAGAGAGAGAGAGAGAGAGAGAGAGAGAGAGAGAGAGAGAGAGAGAGAGAGAGAGAGAGAGAGAGAGAGACCATGACTAGTTTTTGCCAGAGTGTACAACCAAAACTAAGCTGATCTCCCCTGGCTTGTCACCTGAATGTCTGATACCCAGGCAACTCAAACAGCTGCAGTCTGGTTGCTCTGCCAATGAGAAAAATGTCAGATACCTTGTTCAACCTCATCTTCTTCTGCCTTTCTAGCCCCCCCCCCCCCCCCCCAATGGAGCATAGGCCTCAATCAACTCACACCAAGTCATTCTATCCTTAACTATCACAAGTAGCTCTTCTCATGTCCTCCCCATCGTTTTAACTTTTCTTTCTAGCTCCATTCTCTATGGGGTTTTTTTCGGGGGGGTGTCTTTCTTTATTTCTATGCCCTCGTGGGTTCCAGTGCAAAGACATTCTAGCTTTACTGTTTTCTCAACATGTGTCATATCCAACACCAAAGTCTTTACTTCACTTCATCATCCATTGGAACATGTTAAGTTCTCTCCCAAAACTCAACATTAGTGATTATATCATACCATTTAATTCCCTCTGTTCTGCACAGGCACCAGTTAATGAATGTTTGTAGTTTATTAGTAGCTGCCTTAGTTGTTCTCCATGTTTCTGCTCCATACAGCAGTACTGATTGGACATTAGAATAAAAAAATGTTTCAACCTCCTGCCTAGACAGAGTGTGTTGTAGATCCCCTGCTGCTGACATCCTTTGTGGAGATAACAAATGATTCGTCATCTCTTTGGATCATACAGAAGAACAGATAACTTATATTGAAACTCTATACTTAAACATCCCAGCAGCCGCAGTAGTGGAGTGGCAAGCACACATGCCATCAGGCCTGGTGGTAATAATTCATATCTTTACTGAAGCAGGCATTTCACACTTGCTGTGAATTATGTATTAAAGTAAGGGATATACAGGACAGACCACTTGAGGTGATATCGGATGTGATGAATTTCTGTTGTGAAGAACAATTTTTCTTGCTTGAATTCATATCTGGATAAAATGAATTTTCTGACAAGATAAACCATTTCTTGGTCACCGACGAGTTATCCTTTGCCTCTTGATGATTCCATTTTCATGTTGTACGCTCTCACTGCCAGCATAATTAAATTCAACCTAATAGGTGGGTATAATCTGTTCTGGTTTTGTCTGCAGCTAAACAAAGTACCAAAATTGAGATATTTTACTCTAAATAATGATTACTGTATATGGATCAGGCACGTCAATAATACTTATAGTCATTGATAATACCTTCCTTTTCTTTAAACCCCCCCCCCCCCCACAAACATCCGGGCTAATGCCTGAAGGCTTGACAACCATGAGATAACAGTTTAGATGGCAAGCCAGCAGGTCATGTCCCAGATACCATGTTCAACCTCCAAAGAAGATACATCTCAGTGGTGTAACCTGTAGTCCTGTTTATGTAAGGATTCAATCTTGGATACAAGTATAACTGCCAATAAACTTCAAACATTCAATAACTGGTAGACGTCAGTGACACAAATACAGTAACGATAGTTTATATATACATATCTGAGACTTATATTCTTTTATAAATACCTTGTGATTATTGTCACAAATTAGATGTTTACTTGTTTTTAACATCCTTCAACTTCTGACAAGCTCAAAACAAAAGTACCCAGCTCTCACTCCCCTTTCTCTTTCTCTCACACACTCACATATATCAAACACATATGCATACACCCATATCTCCCACACATACACATATCTCCCACATACACACACACATGCATACATAGAGTAGAAAAGATAAACCCGAGGCCAGTAAGTAAACATATCCAGATCAATTTTACAGCTGTAACTGACATAAGTGTGTGAATTCCCTTGCTGGTGTTGTTGTCAACCAGTTACTCTGGAAACAATGTAATACGTGACAATAAACAAGACTACAAGTCCAATGACAATATAGCACATGAGTCGACGGTTGTTCTTGCCGGAGCCGACCATGTTGTTGAGTCGTTTCATGCTGCCTGTCAGCAAACCCTCCGAGCTGCTGAAGTCACCAGCCTGTCAAACATAACAGAATAGACAAATGGCCATGTTAGATTACAAGCCACGGATAATTACTTACCAGGGTTCTTCTTCTTCTTCTTCTTAGCGTTCACTGGCAGAAAGTTCTGGTTCTCTGTCCCCTCCTGGACTTTGTTCTTGATCCAGAGCTTGAGTTTTGCATGCACACCCATTTTACAGATCTGGCTTATTGATATGCAGACTGTTGGTTCCTTCCCCCTCAGACACGGTCACTCCAACTTTTAAAGAAACATCTCTAATTAGTCGCAGTCTATGACATGCTTGTTATGAGGGTCTATTCTTTGTTCTACAAACTGGGCCCTGGAACACACACACAAGAAGACAAGATTTTGATGATTATTCAAAACTTGTTCCGATTGTAAATTCTGCATCAAGATCAGCCACGAAGAAAGAACCTCATTTGGTTGACTCTGGACATGAAGCTGATAAAGACTGTGCCTTAAGGATTGTTTATTACACACTGAAGAGACATTTGCTAAAAGTGACTGATGCTGTATCAATAAAACTCTACTCTCCTTTGTTATGTACAGATAAAGTTCACTTGATCAAATTGAAGTTACCATGTCCATCATGCAACTGATTTTGAATTTTCAGCAGACACAGCAACTTGACAATGTGGTTTATGCATTTCAGCAATGAGAAGGATTCATTTTGGGCTTTATTATATCAATCAATCAGGTGCCATCTCCACAATGAAGGCTGGCTGCAATGGAACTCCAACAAGCCCTGTCTCTTGCCCTTGATGTACACTCGCTCATACTGCTGTTGGTCCATCTCTTGATGTTATCCTCCCACTTGTAATGCTGTCTGCCTCTTGCTCGCCTACCTTGAACCTTTCCCTCTAGGATGATCTTTACAATACTGTTACGTCTTTAAATGTGACCAAAATATTTCACTTGTCTCTTTTTTATTTCACCTAGCAACTCTCTTTTCATACCCAATTTCCTCAGTTCCTCTGTATTTGATAGCTTTTGTTTCCATAAAATACGACCTAAGCTTCTGTATATCCACATCTCCAAAGAATTGATACGATTTTCCAGTTGTTTGTTCATTGTCCATGTCTCTGTGCCATACAGTAAGGTTGAGAATACATAACATTTGACAATTCTCATTTTTAAAGTATTGCTTATTTCTCTTGATGTCAGTAACTTTTGCATATTGTTGAAAATGTTTTTGGCCATCCCTATTCTTTTCTTGACTTCTGTTTCACTTCTGCCGTCACATTATTATATATATTGATTTAACTCTGTAGTAATGCATCTGACGAGATACAGCAAAACATGCCAGGCAATAATAAATCGTGATGTGTATTGTTTTCGTCTGCATTATTTAGATTATGATTATCCTTTAGTACAAGGCAGATGCCATACCTCTAAATTCTTCTGCTGCCCAATTTGTAACCTTTTAAAAAAAAAGTTTGTTTGTTTGTTTGTTCATTCTGCCCATCTGTCATGATCGTCATGAAGTGCCATCCCATTGTTAAAAGAAGAAAAAAACTTAGATACTTGTTTTTCACAGGCTACTGCAAATCAACCCAGCCTTAATTGGCTTTTTGTAGGTTTACTAGGTAATTTTACATTCTGTAGTTTGCCATTGCTTTTTTGAATGGTCAGCGCTCAATGTTACTACTGAAATCCATGCAAAGCAGTTTACTGCCATATTACATGTAGCAGAATCAAACTGTATTCTGGAATTTCAAACGGCATTAACAACAGCTGGGCCACACAAACCAACCATCACCTTGAAGGTTGGCTGTCATGAGTCCAAGTTCCTGGCCTGCAAACCTTATGGTTGCCTGCAACAGGCTTGAAGATGTTTACCAAAAATATAACATTACATAATGAAGATGACTGAGAAGGAGATGAGGGTGATATAGAGATAGATGGTGACGGTGACACAGGAAAGATGATGAGAGTGAGACAGAGAAAGATAATGACAGTAAGACAAATAAAGATGATGGAGTTGAAACAAGAGAAAAAGGGTGATACACTGAAAGACAATGAGGGTGAGACCGAGAAAGATAATGATGGTAAGACAGAATAAAGATAATGGCATTGAAACAAGAAAAAAGGTGATAGAGAGAAAATGGTGAGGATGATGAAGATTGTCTCAAAAATAATACGAAGATAAATGAAGGTGGTCGGGATCACAACTGAAAATGGTCAGGACGATAGAGAGAAAGAAGTTGGGGATAACATTCATGTAAACGTGATGAAATTGATTGTACTGATGTAGATAATGATACAGTTAGTATAAAAACAAAAAATTTACCATTCCATCCAAATATCTGTTGGAATCCTTGGACTCACTCTCAATATCTAATGCCAGCTGTGGATAGATGATACACTGAATGAAGATACAAGCAAAGTGTCCTCAGGGAGATAAAGTTTTGCCAGGAAGTTAAAACATTTAGTCACAAATATCTAGAAAACATTTAGTCACAAATATCTCGAAAACAGTGACAAATATCTAGACTTCCCAAGTGTGTTTTGAGCCTTTTTTGGGGGTTAAAGAATAGACCCCCGCCTCATTAACAAAGTTAATTGTGTATCCTTTACAGGACGTTGCAGAACCAACCTCTGCATTTTTTTGGCTGTTGTCGTTTTTCTAGGCAAATTTTTAAATTCAGTAGTTTGCCTTTGCTTTCTAAATGGTCAGCTCTCTGTACCACTGTTGAAACCAACGCAAGACGGACTGCTGCCAAATCACCGGGATCGAACCTGGCATTACGAAGCGTGTTCGCAATGCCTAAGCCACATGTAGTAATGCCTCTGATGAGATGCGAGATACATTCACTAATAAGCATGTCCTAAAAGAATTATTAGTTATGATTTTGCTTTAACTGCATGTGTTGGGTGAAGAGCAGTGGTGGTGTAGTTCTATGGGAGTGGTAGAAAGTGATAAAATGGGCCTCGGTTTGAATAATGGGTAGACAAGACTGAAGTAATGGTGATTTCCAAGAAAAGAAGAGTGCCTAAATGTATCATTAAAGTCAAAGGACAAGTACAGAAATGTAACCATCTAGGCATATGGATAATATCCGATGGAAGATGTATGACAGAGATAAAGAATGAATAGGACAGGCCCAAACTGCATTTTATAAAATGAAGAACATTTTGTGCAACAAATCCCTGTCACTGGAGGTGAGAAAAAGAATTCTCACATGCTATATAGATCCAGTTTTAACACATGGCAGTGAAACCTGGGCAATCAATTTAAAACGCCGAACATTTTTTTTAGGTCTCTTCTTTTACAGAAGAATCCCTTGGACAGCTAAGAAGAGCAACCGAGATGTTTTGAAAGAGTTGAATGTTCGAAGAAAACTTATCACAAACACCAGAAGGAGACAGTCATCCTTGTTTTGGTCATTATATGAGGGAAACTGGAACCTGCTGTGACCACTCAAAAGATCTGTGGAAAGAAAGACAGAGAGGCACTTGTTGATGATGATGGTGGGTGGAAAGACACATTTATTGCAGCCTATCTGCAAACCACAACACAATACACCAATTGCCCCTTTTAAGGGAGAACACAAAGGTAGAAAAAGAAATATTCAATTTATATTCACATAAAAAACATTTGTCACCAAATAACACAGTGTACAGAAACAATATGTTTCATCATAGTGGAGAATACAGAAGCTCTTCTTGGACATCAACAAAAACAAAACAAAAATGATTACACAGAAGATAAAATATGCTATAATTCTAATTATACTATTGTTTAAAGGTGATACATGTGTGAGGGAATTCTGTCACTATTCTGTTACTGACTGAAGGTGATACATGTGTGAGGACATTCTGTCACTGACTGAAGGTGATACATGTGTGAGGACATTCTGTCACTGACTGAAGGTGATATATGTGTGAGGACATTCTGTCACTGACTAAAGGTGATATATGTGTGAGGACATTCTGTCACTGACTAAAGGTGATATATGTGTGAGGACATTTTGTCACTGACTAAAGGTGATACAAGTGTGAGGGAATTCTGTCACTGACTGAAGGTGATACATGGGTGAGGGAATTCTGTCACTGACTGAAGGTGATACACCTGTGAGGGAATTCTGTCACTATTCTGTCACTGACTGAAGGTGATACATGTGTGAGGGAATTCTGTCACTGACTGAAAGTGATACATGTGTGAGGACATTCTGTCACTGACTGAAAGTGATACATGTGTGAGGACATTCTGTCACTGAATGAAAGTGATACATGTGTGAGGACATTCTGTCACTGACTGAAAGTGATACATGTGTGAGGACATTCTGTCACTGACTGAAAGTGATACATGTGTGAGGACATTCTGTCACTGAATGAAAGTGATACATGTGTGAGGACATTCTGTCACTGACTAAAGGTGATACATGTGTGAGGGAATTCTGTCACTGACTGAAGGTGATACATGTGTGAGGACATTCTGTCACTGACTGTTAGTGATACATGTGTGAGGACATTCTCTCACTGATTGTTGGTGATACAAGTGTGAGGACATTCTTTCTCAGTGACTGACATAATGCAAGTGTAAAGATATTATATCTCAGTGACTGATTATGATATAAATATGTGGACATCATGGCATCAACAGATTACAATCTGATTGTCAAGACATCTCACCCCTCGGAGTATCGACACTTTGTCTGCGAGTCCTGTGACACGGCGCTGGTTTTCAGTGTCCAGCATCTCCTCCGTGCTTAGATTTGCTGGAATATACATCACAAATATCAGACGATGTAACCAGATAAGCACTGATATCAGTCACACACTGACAGACACTATCTGGGAGTGGCACACAGAATTCAACAGACACAAAACCTAGTAAATATTTATTTTCTAATTTTACTCTTTTCTACACTGGGGGATACTGATAATCAATATCAACAGCTCCCAGTGTAGAAAAATCAGAAAATAAATATTTACGGGTTTTGAGTCTGTTGAATTCTTACAATTATCATAATTATTTAATTAAATTAATTTAACTGTAGAAGTGATATCCTTGCAGATCGACCCAGCATAGAAACATTTCGACAATCATTGGTCAGACAAATCAACTAGATCAGTTCAGACGCTGTATCCTGGGTATCTTTCTTTAAGTACATGACTACATGAATGAAAGATAAGTCTCTTAATGGTCTCTCCTCCGAACTTCTACCCCATATTATGGCGGCCAAACAAATACCCTAACAGGGCCTCAGTCTTATGCAGAATGCGGACTTCCTGCCAAGGAAAAAAACACATCAAAACTATGATCGGTTCCGAATAATGAAACAAATGCTCTAACAAGGTTTCAGCAATATGATATTAACCGCGGACCTGTTTCTGCGACTATGCTGCACCGCCGACAGTATCCCCCGCGCCGCAGCTTGGGGGCTAAACTAGATGGCTGGGACTCACGAGCAACAACTACCACATCTCCTGCAACTTCCTCCAATTTATTTGCTCATGAGTCCCAGGCATCTTCTAGCTCGGCGGTGAGTTTATAGGAAAAACACCTGCGTTGGAGCGCATGGTCTCCACGCCATCTCCATATTATCATCTGTAATGTTGCCGTGTCTCGAAATTGTAAATGGTCGCTAGTATCGTCTGCAAGTATCATCTGCAGAAACGCTCGAAATTGTCAACGGTCGCTATTAATCCTGCAGTGTAAGTGTTGCGTGCGTGTCATAACATTTAACATTGTCAAGTAATCCTAGTTTTGCCGCGATGTGTTCGTCGCAGGAAGTCCGCGTTTTACACACGACTGAAGCCCTATTAGGGTATTTGTTTGGCCGCCATAATAAGGGGTAGAAGATCGGAGCAGAGCCCTTAATGTTTCTATATCAGATCAGATCTGATTATGATTCAGATTATTTTTTTAAGTTTAATTTTAAGTTTAACTGTATACTTACTATTAGAAAACAAACACTTAGCTAGTAAAACTGGGTAAAATGATCTCCTGTCTTTAATTTAATCGCAATCATGTATCAAATACTGCTTGTCATGAGTTTAGTAAACCATTCAATAACCGCTGAAACCCTGAATAACACCTACCTCCGTTCCTCTGTTTACTTCTCCAGTCTGCCATGTTGTCAATGTTTGGTTGTCACAAGTAAAATTCTCACCGGAAATATTTTCATAAAATAATGCAACTATATTTTTTTAACGAAACAACTTGTTAAAATATCAGGGGAAAACGTTTTTTAACTTGTTAGCAGTGGTTGAACAGCCTTAAAAGTCTATGGTTAAGCACCAGCAAGGATATAAAATTTAGAATTTTGAGAGCATTCACCTTCCCTGTGGCTACATACGGATGTGAGTCGTGGAATATCTCTCAGTCCTTAAGAAAGAGAATAGGGGCTTTTGAGCTGAAATGCAATAGAAAGATTCTCAGAATATCTTGGACAAAGAAGAGGAGAAATATTGGTATCTTAAAAGATCTGAACATCAAGGAAGATTGGCTAACAAACAGCATCCTTTCTCGGAAGCTGAAATATTTTGGTCATATCAAGCGCCACGAAGGTTTAGAAAAAATAATAGCAGAAGGCATGGTACCAGAAAGGAGGGGCAGGGGCTGACCAACATGAAGATGGGCACAGGATACAAGTGACTCCTTGAGTATGAAAGTACATAAGTCGGGAGAACTGGTGAGAAACCGAGTTTCTTTCAGACAGACTGTGATGAGAGCGACGTTCTGCAAAGGACCTGCTACATGATGATGAGCATTGGGTGACACTGTAAATGAAAAGCTTATTTACAGAGCTTCACTTTGATCTTATCCAAAAAATCGAGAAATGCCCCTGGAGCACTTGAGACGTGGGTCACAATTAAAAATGTTAAAACACCTTGATAAGAAAATTAGTCATCTAACTGTTCGAAAAAATCTAAGTTGCAAAGAAAACGTATCTTTCCTAAACCAGAAAGTGATTTTGTTGTATTAAGTCAAGTCACCTAATTGCTAACAGTATTCTCCAAACCTAGCCGAAAGTATACAATGATTACATCCGATTACTTGACTCAATGATTTTTTGGTTGATATTATAGAATTGACAGGGCTATGTGTTCAATTCTTTATTATCTGTCTCTTTTGTCCAATATTTCTCCTCAAATTGCAACTTCACGTATCCGTTATTTTCTGTCGATACGAACACTGCACTGATGATCTTTCCCTTAATGTTTTGATTGACGAGTGATATTGTAAAAACGCAGCTATCAATGCTTCCGTTTTTGTTTTCTTACACGCTCACGATATTCACATGTCTTCTTCTATCTTCTTCTTCTTCTTCTTCTTCTTCTTCTTCTTCTTCTTCTTCTTCTTCTTCTTCTTCTTCTTCTTCTTTCTTCTTCTTTCTTCTTCTTCTTCTTCTTCTGTTTCTTCTTCTTCTTCTTCTTCTTCTTCTTCTTCTTCTTCTTCTTCTTCTTCTTCTTCTTTTTCGTGCAGAGTGGAATGCTTCACTGCGGAGGACACGAGTGAGGAGTATTGTCTGGATTTTTCACTGGGATACACCGGTGTGTTGGGACAGATTGGCTGGCTCTGCACAACTTGGTGGAATACTGATGCATGATAAGGCAGACGTGGTTAGTGCTTTGTGAGAGAGCGTGTACAGTTCGGAGGAGCAGATAGATCACCATAGTCTAGTGTTATTGATGCAATGGGAGGGGGGGGGATGACGAGAGGTTGTGGCAGATGCTCGAGGCTCAAAGAAAAGGCAAGACGAAGATTTAATCAGAATGCTGCTGGCACCATTAGTATCGGAACTCTTCGCTGGCTGCTGAAGATGGGGACAGAGCGCTTATGGGAATGCCCCGAGTGCTGTGATGTCGGTTCTTGAATCAGCTCAACTCTTCTTCTTCTCTCAATATCTGCTTTTGCCGCTAGGCGTCGCAGTTCATCAAAAGATCAGCAGCCGAGCCAGTGCTCGCTCAGTCGCTTGATACGCCATGATGTTATGCAACCTCAAGGTGTCGGTGACGCCTTTAATCCACATTCTTCTCGGTCTTTCCTTGCCTCTAGGTGTTTGAGGATGAATGCTCTTGCTGCTGGCGTTGTCGGTTTCATTCTCATTAGATAACCAAACCATTCTTGGTTTCTCGATACATTTGACGACGGATGTTGTTCCAACAGTTCTTGTGATCACGTCATTTCTCATCCAATCTCTTCGGGTTTTATTTGCAGCCATTATTAAACATCTCACAGCTGGTTAGTCTTCTCCCGTGTTCTTTTGTCAATGTCCAAGTCTGACACTGGTAACCTAAAGTCGGTATAAACATCGCATTAAAAAAAAAAAATAATTTTCGCTAAGCTGAATACTAAATCCAGTCATCTCCTTGTGAGATGCAATTTTTGGTTTGTTTATTTGAAGCCCTACTCTGGCTCTTGCCAGGGGCCGCAATATAGACCATAAATGTGGTCTAATGGCTAAAGGCGGTTTCTGGGAACTCTCCACGGGTGATCCGCATCCACATGGTGGCACTTTGTGTCATCGGGTGTTTATCGCTTGTGTGATGTCCTGGTGGGGTAAAAGAAGATAAATAGATAGATAGGCTAAGCTGAATGCCCGACACGCCCCAACAAACTTTCTAATCAAATATATTGGCAAGGTCATCTGCAAAAGGAAAACATAGGTTGGGAGGGGCCTCATCTCCCTGATACAGTTTCTAAGAGGTGGCGATTGAAAAGATCAAGCTTAGTTTATGGGTGTAATAACAATGATGTAATGAATGGCAAATGAATATAACAGTCTATCCCAATTAATAATACAACGTGTATACGCATAGTTAAAAAGAGAGCTTCTACGTATAATGTGCTTAGTCATCTAAACCATTTTTTCTGAAAAAAAGGGGGAGGGTGGGGGGGGGGGGGATGCGGGAGCTAGACTCAAGATTTCTTCGACCTTGACACAGGCAGTTAGTTGATGTGAAGTGTAAACAAAATCTCTGCACTTTTCCAGGTTTGTAATACTTTCTAAATGCTTGTATTATATTTTAAAAAAAAAAATTTTTATGCTGAAAAAAAAAAAAAAAAAACTCCGAAAAGGTATGACGTTTGCTTATTTATGTATTTTTTTAGTGGTACAAGAACCACTTCCCCAAGATTTTGCTCGCAACAGCTGTCTACAAAAACCTGGTGTTTCCGGTAAATCACGTATTTGAACATGAACCGCTGTCGTTTGTGGAACATTATTGTAATCCAGTTTTGTCCTTTTTAGGACGACATTTTTTATTTGAAGCCCCACTCTGGGTTTTTCCAGGGACCGCAATATAGGCAGGCCATAAATATAGCCAATTGTATGAACGCGGTTTCTGGGACCTCTCCACGGCGATCCTCATCCACATGGTGGCCCTTTGTGTCATCGGGTGTTTATCGCTTGTGTGATGTCCTGGTGGGGTAGAAAGTCAGTCAGTCGTTTGTGGAACAGGATAGAAAGGCCGAGTAACGAGGAGCGGGGAAGGGGGCGGAGCAATAATACAGAATCTTTCCCTATCCTGCACAGGTATAGTGTACTAACTTGCAGTTATAAAGTAAGCAACTCGATGGTGGTGTAGTGTTTCATATATCTATGCCTAGCATTATAAGATAAAGGGGAAAGTAGGAGTACTTACGTGCATATTAATAATACTTCGACAGTATGAAAATAACCAGTATTTGCGGACTCATAGAGCATCCATAGGAAAATTGAAAATGACGTCGGGTCAGAAGCATATCATGCATTTTCTGTCCAGGAAACTCAGGTGTGCAAGGTAACGAGCAGGCTGATTGATTAGCTGTTGCCGCTCCTCTGGGCGGTGAGCTACTCTTTGATAAGATTATAAAACCGAACGAGAAGCTTTATAATAAAGCAGGTGTGGCGAAGGCTGTCTTGGATCAAATGGACAGTGCAACAGAGCAGACAGAATCCACTCTCTGAAAGAATAATTCAACACAGAAGGGGTAGAGAGGACGGGGGGGGGGGGGTTGAGTATAAGTCAAGGATTTCAACACTGGAAGTGGAAACAGAGACGGACTTGTAGTCAGGGTACAGATGGTACTGTTAGCATATTGACTATTTGTAGGCTACTGGAGAAAGAGACGGAGCACTTGAGGGGGTCTCCAGAGTGCAGTGATGTTAATTTGTTTATTTATCCATTCATTCAGTAGTTCTAGGTTCACTTAGAGAATTGTTAAACGATAGCTTCTTTCTTCTTTTTTTTCTTCTACTACTACCACCACCACCACCACCACTATTTCTGCTACTACTTATTCTACTACCTCTACCAGTTGGTTGGTTAGTTGCGTATCCTTTACAGGAAGTTGCAGAACCAAACCCAGCAGCCCTTGGCTGTTGTGTGGTTTCTCTAAGCAAATTTACGACCAGTAGTTAGCCATTGCTTTTTCGGCTTCTTGATACCACTGTCGAAACCAACGCAAGGCTGGGATCTAACCCGGCATCCCGGCATTACTAAGCGTTCGCATCGACTTAGCCACAGAGCCGACACCTCTACCAGTAGTACTGCGAATCTTGTTACCTCATTATACTACCACCACCATCCTCACATCTGTTGATCTGGTTCTTAATGATATTCCTGCTACTAAACTTATTCATCCTTCCCCTATCTCTGTGTGTATTTCTCTCTCTCTCTCTCTCTCTCTCTCTCTCTCTCTCTCTCTCTCTCTCTCTCTCTCTCTCTCTCTCTGTCGCTCTCTATCCCCGCTCCCATTTCTCCAGACCCCACCCCTTCTGCCACTCCTCCGGTGACCCAGTCTTCCAGCTGTTCCCCAGTTTAAATTTAGCGCGATCTACCTACAACTTTCTTACCCGTTATCTGTTATTTGTAGAATCTAATTATATCCTGAGTACGTGAGCAGGGAGGCTGGGAGGTGAAAGCTTCTGTCTCAATCTGTTCTGATGCATCTTCCCACGGTCTCCCACATACCAGTCTTAGGTAAGCAACGACAGCTCTCTGGCGCGCACACATAGCAACTAGCAGACGTCAATGAACCTATATAGATTAGCGCTTATAGAAGATTAGTTAACAAATTTAATTTCAATAAAAGCAAGTTTCGTTAACTTTCAAGTCTCTACCAACGCGTAATGTCAAATTAACTCT